ATATTTATGTATCAACAGTTTGACTGAAGAGGCCTATGTTTTACCTACAGCTGGAAGGTATTTGTTAATTTCTATGGCATTTTAACCAATTCTTCATTCTTAACAGATAAAAAGAAACAGAGTAATAAGGTAAGACAGATACTATGCTATCATTCAGCTCACACCAATCTGCTCATACAAACAACATGCACACTAAGTGCTTATAGTTGTTCCTCAGTCTCTGTAGGGGACTGGTTCCAGGACCCATGCGGACCAAAATCTGAGGATGCTCAAGTCCCTCACATAAAATGGCATAGTATTTGCATATAACCTACGCATATACCCCCATATACTTTAAATCACCTCTAGAATACACACACCTAATACAATGTAAATGCTATGTGAATAGTGGTTACACTGTGTTTAAATTTGTATTTTCTCTTGTATTATTTCTATTCCTTTTTCATTTAATGTTTCAATCCAGTTAGTTAAATCCAAAGATGAGGAACCCTGTGGATACTGAGGGCCAATGTACTTCTGCCTAAATCCACCTCAGTTGGAGAACAGAATAAGGCTATCTGGTATATTGTTTCCTTCTGTTTGTAAAGTTTTATGGGTGTCCTTAAGTTAGAAATATAGAATATTGACAGAAATATGGTTAGAAAAATGTTTAGCTTTAGTTTTATGTTTCTGAATATCAGTTGAAGCTGTACAGTTACTCAACTTAAAACAAGAACAGCAAAACATTATAACAGCTAGTGTAACACACAACTGTAATTTTGTAGCCAAACATAAAAAGGAAATAGTATCTTACAACATCCTACAGCAAGTATGCATATCTTTTTTGCAAAGTCTGGAGGGGCCTTTAAGCTAATTCTTCCTTTTTCTTCTAAATGATCTTAATTCTAAAAAAATAAAACTCTTCATAAAAGAATGATTTCAAAAGAACCTCAAAGTATAAATCAAGCATCAACATAAAAAAAATTGGTTAACTACAGATACTTTTAGAAGTGTTAGCACAATAAATGAGCCACTTAGTACAGAAACAAAAATCAACAGAAACAGGATCTTTTACAGCAAAAAGTTAAACTGTATAGCCTTTAACATTTAATATTCTGACTCCTAAAATCATCTTAAAAAAAAAAAAGAAAGAAAACTCAAATTACAAGCAGGTTGACTGACTACAAACCAGATCCTAAATGGCAACTGGAACATAGTTCTTTAAAACTGTAATGAAAATCACAGTACCTTATGTTACTTGATGTAATACAAGTCTACTTTCCCATTTAAAAATTTTAGTATTACGATAGTTTCAACAGAACTGATGCTAATACCTTAGCTTTGGCAAGAGACACATTCTCATGGTTGTTACTCTTTATGAGGAAAAATCTTGCATCTTGAAGCACATATTTGAGTTTACTGGTTTGATCTGAAAAAAAGAAACCCAAATTGATTAACCACAGGCCATTATCACACAAAGGGGTCAAAACTGTACTAACTGAAATCAGCCCTCCACAACCCAGCTGAACTTTTAAAAAGCAACAATCACCCATTCAACCTGGAAGGCTAAGCCACAACATGTAATAAAGCAAAGGTAAGAAAAAGACAATCAGCATATTGCAAGAAGTTAAACCTAACCTAGTGATGTTCCGATATATCAAATCCACATTTAAGTATGAAAATAGTTACCGAGTTTTATAGATTTTCTTAATCAGATTCAAGAGTGGTAACAGACCATTATGCTATATACATACATATTTATACACACACATCTATAACATACACACACACACACACACACACACACACACACACACCCCATCCCATTTTGTCCAAAAACTAAAATATTCTGAAATGTTTGGTATTATCCTAAAAGATACATAGTAAGAAGCAGACACAGAGCATTCTATGTAAGATATTATTTTTTTCTTCATGTAATATATCGGAACATTACTACATTAAAAGCAGCTATTAATGGAGAACCAATAAGGCAAAATAATGACTATGCAGCATGCAATGAAAACAATTTCAAATTTAAATGATACCTTTTCGGACAGCACGAACGGAAGATGATAATTTCTCATGCTTCTTTTCTGAACCTGTATTTAGCCAAAGTACATTTGTTCAGATTGAGCTTTAATAGAGATAAGACAAAATTTCTACAGTCTTGTCACATAAAATTCTCATTCAAGACAAATTATTCTTCCTGGCGCACCCACACACACAAAAGAACTTCTCAATGTGTACGAGTGTTTTGCTTTTTGGTTGTTTGGATTTTTTAAAAAGTATGTATATTTGAACAGTTTCCCACTCAGAAAACTAGTCACTGAATCATCATCTTCCAAGAAAAAAAAAAGTGAAAATTCCACTTAAGCAGTAACAGAACAGGATTAAAATAATAAGAAAAAGCTTAGTTTTCTCTAGAATTATTACACTGAACATGCCAAAAATCAGTACTAATGGACATCAACAAGTTCACACTAAACTACAGCCTCCACACACTTTCTAAAGCAGATTACATTAGAATCAGTCAGATACGATCACAAATACAAGTAAAATGAGAATACCTGCATATGACTCTGATGCAGAGCTTCCACTTCTATCAAAAACAATTGGAGATATGCCTCTAGCTCTCTTCCTTTCCTTCTTTTTCTCATCTAAAAAGAACCAAACAAGAGGTTTTTTTTTTTTTAATTTAATACAGAAACTAAGAGAAGTAATCAAACAAGAATGTATCATTACATGTCTAATTTTTGCATAGCCCTTATATTAGACTGTGCTCCTCTCTCCTGATCACTCAATTTCCTCAGGAGAATGTTTTATTTTAAAAACACTGTTTAACAAGTAAGGGCATCTTGCTTCTCTCATCAATTTCAGTCAAATAAAAACACATGAAGTAACTGCAAAGTCAGGTCCTTAATTGCCATATATAGGTGGACTTGAATAAAGTTTTCCAAGAGACGGAAAATCTGCAAAGCAAAAACAATTTCTTTCAAAACTGCGTCCTTTCTACGCACCAGGTAACACTGTCTTAAGTCCTTATTTTTTTAAACTCCACTACCATTCTTCATCACAATTCCAATTCTGATTCTATCTTAAGAAGTCTGATGAACCCTGGAGCCCAAAGCTTTACAACTGGAAAACAATATATATACACCATAATTAGTGATTCCCTTCTGGTTGCCATTGCTTGTTTTTGTGTTTTCCATTTCATTCTTCTTAGCCATTTCCTCCCTGGATTACTGCTCTTATTTTCAAATTCAATTCAAAATTTACCACTACAATTTTAATGGTAGCCTGTGTATTTCTGTAAGAAAGCTGAAATTTTTCAGTAAATAAAAAAGGTTTGGATTACCTGTCATTTAAGAAAGCAGTCCCAAGCTTAATTTGGAACTTTATAAACATATAAATGAGGACTGAAATGGAATTCGGCTCTCCTGTTCATTGCTATCTTAATTATACCATGATAAGCTCCTTTTGCTTTTCAGCTTAGAGATAACGGAAGAAAAAAAATGCATATACTTATTTTTACAAAAACAATGGAAAGCTGAAAAAGAATAATCAGTGATGGTGTATATAATAACCTACTACATAATGACAGCTATTTAAAAAGCTTTAAGTACTATCTCCCTTAATCCTCAGAACAAGTTCACAAGATACTCTCACTACAGATGAAGAAAACTTGGATTACAGGTGGTTAGGCAACTAGACTAGGGTCCCACAGTTCCTGAGTGGTAGAACCTAGACTCAAAGGCAGGTCCTCTGGCTTGAGCAAGTAGAAACAATATTTTACCAGTATTTTTGAAACACGGCTACAGCTTCAACTGCTTTTGGGAGCTTTTTTCATTATTTCTTTCAAAAGTCTGACATATTTCTTCTAATTTTTCCTCCATGGATATTTCTTTTAGGAGTCTAAGCGTTATGAATGGATCAGACTGAGTGTAATGTATCTCTTATTGCTGTTAAAAAAAGATTATTTTATGGTCCAAGTACTAAAAAGGGCCTGGCACAGTGACTCGGACCTGTAATTCCAGCACTTTGGGAGGTTGAGGTGGGCGGATCACTTGGGCTCAGAAGTTCAAGCAACATAGCAAGCCCCTGTCTCTATATAATATAAAGAAAAAAAAAATAATAAAAAAATTACTAAAAAGATCTCTGAGATAATGCAGGGAAAATAACAGAAGCAGAAGGTCCTACTCAATTGTTTCTATATAATGCTAAATCTAGCATTAGCATGAGAAATCTCCATGGAATTTTCATTTTTGTATGAGTAACTCCCACTGCTCTTAAGTTTATGGCCGCCTCCCCCAACTATTACTCTTAGGTCAAAAGAACAATAAAAATCATCTAATAAATAAAGCTATATGAATCGGCCTGTCGCTTTATAAAGTTACCAAAAATTCGGAGAATAAGGTAAAATAAACTGGAATCTAGAAAATTCAAGACACAGAAACTAAACTGTGATCACTTTTATTTAAAAACTGACATCTCCTAATCAAGGAGTTCCAAAACCAACCCATACTCTTTCATAAACTAATGTATGAAAAATAATTTCCTCCATAGTAAATACAGTACCTAAAGCATGTTCCACATAGTAAATACAGTACATGTTCCACACTGCACGTATCTCATTTAGAATAAACCTGGTCTAATTAACAGTTTTGACATCAGTATTTATTATAAAACTACAGTTATCATTTAATTTGAAATGTCTTCTCCGCAAAAACAAAGGATATTAATCAAGTTATCTTACTATGATGATCATCTAGGAGCCTGTTAAAAATGCAGATTTCTGGGCCGGGCAGAGTGGCTCAGCACTTTGGGAGGTGGAGGCGGGTGCATTACGAAGTCAGGAGTTCGAGACCAGCCTGGCCAAGATGGTGAACCCCCGTCTCTACTAAAATACAAAAATTAGCCAGGCGTGATGGCACGTGCGTGTAATCCCAGCTACTCGGGAGGCTGAGGTAGGAGAATCGCTTGAACCCTGGAGGCAGAGGTTGCAATGAATGGAGATCGGTCATCGCACTCCAGCCTGGGTGACAGAGTGAGACTCCGTCTCAAAAAGAAAGAAACAAACAAAAAATACAGATTTCTGGTCCTATTCATTTAAGTCAGTCCCCTTTGTTTAATGTAAACAATAAAAACATTAAAGTCTAAGAAATAATAGAGATACCAAAAAGAAGATATTGTAACAAAACATTCCCTACCCATGGGAGTGGTTTCACACATTCTCCACAATAAATGAACTTTCAACATTTTTTGAAATGTTGCTAATGGCAAGTATTTATTGCTAATGGCAAGTATTTCTTCTCTATCCATTATCTTAAATTATAAAAAATATACACCCTGGCCAGGTGCTGTGGCTCACGCCTGTAATCGCAGCACTTTGAGAGGTTGAGGTGGGTGGATCACTCAAGGTCAGGGGTTCGAGACCAGTCTGACCAACATAGTGAAACTCCGTCTCTACTAAACACATAAAACTAGCCGGACGTGGTGGCGCATGCCTGTAATTCCAACTACCCAGAAGGCTGAGGCAGGAGTATCACTTGAACTCAGGAGGCAGAGGTTGCAGTGAGTTGAGATCACGCTATTGCACTCCTGCCTGGGTGACAGAGACAGACTCTGTCAAAAAAAAAAAGGAAAAGAAAAGAAAAATACATCCTATCAGTTTGCAAAAGGCACGATGGAAGCACGGAAGTAAAGATTCCACAAGTTTTTTACAACAAATCCAACTACTCATCTATTCAGTTTAACTCTACCTCCTTTGAAAAGCCTATCTTAACTCCCAAACCTAGAATTCTAGTGAACAAATGGCTGAAAGCACTTCAGTTGCCAATCACTAGAAGACAACTGGCCATCTGCTCTACCTATACTGTATACAGTATACATACTATAAAGTATATAGTATAACCTATATAGAAATATATACATCTGTATAGGTAGAGCAGATGGCTAGTTATCTTCTAGTGATTGGCAACTGAAGTACTTTTCTATATTATATACATAACAATGTACTATTATAAATGATAAAGTTCTATAATAATGAAACTGTAAATATATTTCAAAAGAATAGTAATTTTCTTATGTTTAGCACATTCTACTTATGTAGCAATCTGGTAGCATCTTTACATAAGACAGCCATTATAATCATCATACAGTGCTCTGTAAATACCCTGACCTCTCCTTGCTGTACCTTACCCCAAGAAAGGTTGCCCTAAGCCTAGTGCCTCCAACTACCTAATAGTCATACATTTCTGTCTCGGGAATAAAGAGGCAGAATATGTAGCATTGAAGAAATGACTCAAGAAAGATCTTACCTAATTTTTCCACAAGAATTTTATTTATAGTCTTCGTCTCCATCTTACACCTTACACCCCAGTCTTCTCGTAGACCCTATCTCAGCCAGTCAACTGACAGACACAGAATTAGAAAAAAAGTCTGTGCTCCCAGGGAAAAAAGAAATAATTTGATTCTCCAGCCATATAATGGAAATCTAGGGGCATTTTACTAAGGAAATATTGTAACATCCAGTGAACAGGTTTCATATGAATATACTTCAAGTACATTAGTGTTTTAATAAACTGCTGACTGGTATGAAAATCTAAGAATTCACAACACTAAAATCTGAAATACATTTCCTTATATAGAAACAAATGGACTTGTGTCCATTTACAACACAACCAATTTGTAGCTAGGAAATGCCCTTACTAAACATGCAACTCTTATCCAAGATTATTCAAATGTATTTATAACATTCAACAGTATATAATTATAAAAGATCACAAGACACTCCTATTAATATCCCCCATCTCCTCAACAATTTTATAATTTAAACATTTTTAAGGCTGAAACCTATCCAGTATTTTTTAAGAGAAACTTTTACACATAAAAAGTAGTACCTGATCCATCTGTGCCTGAACCAGATCTGACGGACCCATCTGTGAAGGAAACAGATTCAGAGCCAGAGTCACTGGCCTCACTTCGAGTGTCATAATCATTTCCCTCCTCTTTCTGGTCTCTCTCATCCTGTTCATATTCTTCTTCTTCCTCTTCCTCCTCCTCCTCTTCCTCCTCCTCCTCCTCTTCCTCTTCCTCCTCTCCATCTTCATCTACCTCTTCATCTTCTTCCGCATCTTCTTCTACCTCTTCATCTTCCTCCACATCTTCTTCCACTCCTTCCTCCTCATTCTCAGTGTTGTTGCCTTGCTCATCAGAAGAACCACTGCTGCCAGTCTCATGGTCAGAGCCATATTCTTCAGAGTTCACCTCTTCCTTAGAAGACTGGCTGGATCTGCTTGCACGTCTATCCACTTCAAGCCCAATTCTCTGATGTTTAAAGAAAAAGGGAATCAGCAGTCATATAAAAGACAAGGTCAGGGTGAATAAACAGTTCTAAAGCCTCAAAACGAATGGCTTTCTGTTTTATATCTGCAATAACATTTACTACCTCAGAACCGTCTGGCGTAGGGGATTTGGCCCTCCTTTCAGGATCCCTTTTCCGGAGACAGGTTTTTTCAGGTTGATTCTTATAAGGTTCTCTAGAGGCACTACTCGATAGACGAATTTTCCGGTCGGCATCTAGACGCTTGTTTCTTTCAGATCTTTGATATTCCTCATTTTTATACTCTGTGACTGACTTTCCTTTTGTACTGACTATTCTTTTGTTATTGCTAACAGATGAGCTCAGTGGCTTAGAAACCAGTTGTCTTGAATGGACAGAAGGCTTTTGTCGTTTGGTATCAGTAGATTCCATTCGATCACTTTTTCTTTTTGATCCTTTAAAATAATGTAAAAAAACACAAAAGTATTTGTAGTATTCCATTTATTTCACCAAAGATGGGCAAATATATATATCAGGAAGGGGGGAAAGGCCTTATTTCTTTAAAAGTCTTCTGAAATATTTCTGCTCCAGAAAGAAAACATAGCTTTCAACTACTAGAATAAATCCATCTATTTGAGAAGTTTCATGTATTAGAAAAAAACCAGATTACCCCAATTCACATGGATGCCAGTTTGTTATGTGCATTTAGTGTTAACTGCCTCAAGGAACAAGTACAAAAAAGCACAGTCATTTTCTTAAGAAATTGAATCTCCTCTATTTATGCTGTTATTTCAACAAAAATAGTAGAACTCTTACATACCCTTTTTCTCGTTTTTATCTTGTTCACTCTCTGGATTATACAGTTCATCATCCTGTTCTGGTACTTCAGTCAAAATATCATCTAGAACATTAAGTTCTCCATCTGCAAAAGAAATCAGAAAATAATAGGGAAAAATCACTATTACTAAGCATGTATTTTTAAGTTCTTAGTGTGAGACAACAAATGCCTAGGAGCTTTTACTTCAGGATCAACACACAAGATTAACTTCTATAAAACAATACAGGGTAAAGAACTGGCCAGGCACAGTGGCTCATGCCTGTAATCCCAGCACTTTGGGAGGCTGAGGCAGGCCAATCACTTGCGGCCAGGAGTTGGAGACCAGCTTGACCAACATGGCAAAACCCTGTCTCTGCTAAAAATACAAAAATTAGCAAGGTGTGGTGGCACGTGCCTGTAATCCCAGCTATTCGGGAGACCAGATATAAGAATCACTTGAACCTGGAAGGCAGAGATTGCAGTAAGCCAAGATCACGCTACTGCACTTGAGCCTGGGCAATAAGAGTGAGATATACTCCCAGAAGTATACAACTCAGAGGGCATGAAAAGATACACTGGAGTGCAAGAAGAAAATGTAAAAATGTGTCTACTTTTACCTTATTCTTTAATTTCAAACTTTTGTGATAGCTTTAAAATATGCACAATAAATTAGTATAGAAATACATATGTACAACTTATAAATACACATTTACCAAAAATGTGTACTCTCCATGATTACAAAGGGAAAACAACTTTACAGTGGAGAAATGTCAAACAGGTCAAATTAACCAGATAATCAAAGTTAATATCACCCGTAATGGGACAAATCAACATGATGGACCTCTTGTTATAATGCTCTGAGAACAGAACAGAACAACGCTTTTTAATGTTCTATGCAAAATGGAAAAGCTGAATCTACATGAGGAAAGATCAGACAAACACAAATTAAAGGGTATCCAAATATGTCACTGTCATGAAACAAAGAGTAAGAAGTATTTCATATCAAAGCAGACTAGAGAGGCATAATAACTGAACACAGCCTACAATATTAGACATAATTGAAAAAACTGGTGAAATCTGAATAAAGTTTATAGATCAGAATATCAATGTTATTTTTCTAATTTTGACTGTACGATGGTTAAGTCAAAGAAAGTCCTTATTTTATGAAACACATATTTAAGTATTTAGGGATAAAGATGTATCATGCCTGCAACTTGCAAATGGTTCAGGAAAAAAAAGTGTGCACATACACAACACAGAATGAGAGACAAATGTGACAAAATGTTAACATTTGCAGAATGTGGTTGAAGAGAAAAAGAAAATTCTTCACACTACACTTGTAGCTGTTATGCTTATCTGAAATTATGTCAAAATGAAAGTTAAATGAAAAAATTATCAATGTGCTATATAATAAAAAAAGTTTGCAGCCTGCTGGTATGGACTGTAAAGGTATAAAACTTATTCAGGGAAGGCAACTATGACTATACTGACATATTCCATGATCATGAAAGAATAAAACTCAGTTCTGTCCTCACCTCCACCTTGTCCAACAATCTTAGAAATACGTGCAAATACCACTTTAAATTTTAAAATAATGTACCAATGCTAAAAGTAAATGTTTAAACATTAACTATTCCAGTGTCAAAAAAATCTTTCCAAACTTAAGGTGTGGCAAAGGAGAAGTGTAAAGCCGTGAAAGCTGGTAAGACAGAACAATTTTATTTGTGGGTCCAGAAAAAAAAAAGAAACAAAGCCCACTTGAATTATAGCAAGGTCTATTAATTAACTTGGGGGCTATAAATAGGTTAGATGAGATTCAAATTTTCCCCAAAGTGAGAAAGAAATCAGTGACTGAAGAGAAGAGTTAATACAAACGATAAGAAAGAAGGTTACACAGGAAATGGTAAAGATAACATTTTCTTTTATATTTGGAGACACAGTCTCTAAAGATATCTGAAAATTACTACGTCTAGAATAGCAAAATTTATTATTTTGAGCGGTACCAATGCTGACATGTACCTTACCATTTTTCTAAAATGAAAACATACTATTTGGGTTTTTCATTTTGTTTACTTTCAAACAACGTTATTTAAAATCAAGATAACGTCAAACAAAAAAGCTTCTCTCATCATCTAGATTCATGTTTTTGCTAAAACAAAATTCCTTCAAGATCTGAATGGTGGCAAACACTATTTCTGGACTCTACATTATAAATAAAAAATAAAAAATAGTTTGATAGAGGCAGTCCACATTTTATAGATGTTTAGTAAGCACTGGGTCAAACTCTAATCAGTAAAAAAGTAGATCCAACAGGTCTTCACAGAATAAAATATATTTGTAGAAGGCAAAAAACAAAACAAACAAAAAAAAAAACTTAAGACAATCACAATGAAATATGCAAATATAATGCTACAGAAATCTTTACATAAAATCCCTAGATCTTAATTAGAAATAGTACCCTCAAACCATGAACATTTACATATTATATACTTTAGCCATGCTAAATTTAATACAGAATGAAAGAATTTGCAGAATGTTAATTTAAATAAATTTGAGTTTCAAAGACACTTAAATCCTGGTTTCCCTAGCAAAAGGGGTCTAACTATTTTAAGAAGTTTTAACAAATTCAAATTCAGACATTGGTTGTATTTTTAGAAAACACCTACGATCTTTTTTAAGACAACAAATATTAACCAATGATTACTTTTGAAAAACACTTTGTCACTTCAAAAGTTTATCATTTTTACATATCATATATACAAATCACATAAAATAAGCCATGTTTAATCATTCATTACTTTGCAGATAAAGAAATAGAAGCTCAAATGTTTGAGCTGACCAAATACACTTGTCTAATAACAGGCGGATATTAGTATGAAGTGCCTACTTTACAAATTTACAGTTACATTAGATGGGGAACATTAAAAGCACCTTTAAACAAAGTGTAAAGAACACAAATGCAAAACGTTAAAAGGCCATACATACTAGAACATATATTTCAAATTAGTGCACCAGAAAGCTCTGTATCTTTACAACATTTAAAATTTACTGGAATATTTAAAATCAACTATAACATCCTCATTTATAAACACTTTTATTTGTATTATAGTCTGACATCAATAAGCTAACTGTGTGATTTTACCGCACTGGCAAACTAAAACTTACAGGATAAATGTAGCCCATTGTTTGTTTTGAAAGGCCTGCAAGAATGGTTTTTACATTTTTAAGGTGTTTATTAACAACAATAACAACAACAACAAGCAGACTATGTCAGAGAACATAGTTAGAGCCCACAAAGCCCATCTGGCCCTTTACAAAGAGTTTTGCCAACCCCTGTCATAATATAAATAACCAAATTTTAAGTTACTTTTCTCCATCATTGAAACTCCTTATATATATACACTGGAATATGATACACAGGGGAAAAAGTCTTGGAGGTTAAGAAAATGCAGGTATCAGGAAATTCCCAGTCTCTGAGTTCAAGATTCTTCACCACTGATAAGAGTGACTTAGAATAAAAAGTTCAGTTTTGGGGAAAGGAAAAGGAGGACATTTGAATCTTCTGATGAGTTTTTCAACCTATAAGACTCTCCCTTCCTTATCACTATCAGACTTGAATAAATCCTGCCTGCCCAACCCTTTTGCTAATGATTAGGTTATATGGTACGTATAAATAAAATCTGGCCCAGAACACAAAACAAAATCCCTTCTTCAACACAACAGGTATGGTACATACACACATGCTTTAATCATCTACTGCTATATAAGATGATCACCCTAAAACTTGACTTAAACAGTAACATTTTTCATTATGGCTCACTGTTCTGGGGCTCAACCCGGGTCTCTCATGCAGCTGCAAATGGAGCTAGAGCTGGGGCTGAAATCATTTGAAGGCTTGTTCATTGACAAGTCTGGCTGATGCCTAGACTGGTAAGATTCAGAGTTGGAGCTTCTCCAGCATTTCTCTCTGTGTAATTACTCTTCACTATGGCAGTCACAGAGTAGGCAGACCTCTTACATAGTAGTTTAGGACTCTAAATGTGTATGTCCTAACAGAGACAAGACCAAGTAGAAACACAGCAACACTTTCACAGTATTTTATTCATAGAGGCAATCACAAAAGTTTACCTAGGATCAAAGAGAGGGGAGACATACTCCAATCACTGTTGACAAAAGTGCCATATGTAATATACAGATGTTTCCAAAACTACTACATATAGTTTTAATCGTAAAGAGTTGAATTATATATGTGAGCTGCATTTTTAATATCAAAAAACTGATTTAAACAGGTCAATGTTAAAGCTTATAGTATTAGGTTATAAAGCTAAAGTAAGCTGCTTCCTCTGGCCATATCCTTCACTTGACTTGAAAGAGTACATTTTGTATACATTTTAAATCATTTTTAAAATGTAGAATAAATTAATTATAAAAGCAACATTTTGGTACTCTCACAAGCTACTGCTGTTAAAGAGTGTAACTATCACTGGCATATCCTTTTAAGACATAAAGTAATATTCACTAGTTCTAGGATGACTCTTGAACCTACCTGAAATGTTTTTAACCATTTCAAAACAAAAAACCATGATACTATTACCTATTGTATTAAGCAACCATTCCTTTGTCCTGAAATTTAACATTATTGATATTCTATATAAATAGAGATATGTACACTTTCAATTACTTCACAATAGTTTGACAGTAGCATCCCAACCCAAGAATAATAACAGTAAACAAAGATTAGCAAATGCCAGGTTAAGAAAAGGTCTGTAAACATATAATCCATGCACTATAAAAATCCTAATTTCTATGACATGTAACACTTCACACTGAAAGCAATTTTTAGATGTCTATATAGAGAACTATATGGACTTTAAAAATCACTTTTTTTTTTTTTTGGAGAAAAAAAAAAAAAGTGATTTTGCTCTTGTCACCCAGGCTGGAGTGCAGTGGCACAATCTGGGATCACTGCAATCTCCCCCTCCCAGGTTCAAGTGATTCTCCTGCCTCAGCCTCCCAAGTAGCTAGCATTACAGTTACCTACCACACCAAGCCCGGCTAATTTTTGTATTTTAAGTACAGACAGGGTTTCGCCATATTGGCCAGGCTGGTCTTCAACGCCTGACTTCAGGTGATCCACCCATCTCGGCCTCCCAAAGTGCTGGGATTACAGGCATGAGCCACCATGCCCGGCCTTAAAAATCACTTTAAAAATCTCTAAAAAAAAAAAAAAAAAAAAAAAAAAAATTTTTTTTTTTGAGACCTAGTCTCACTCTGTTGCCCAGGCTGGATGGAGTGCAGTGGCATGATCTTGACTTATTGCAACCTGCACCTCCCGGGTTCATGCAATTCCCCCTGCCTCTGACTCCTGAGCAGCTGGAACTACAGGCTCCTGCCACCATGTCCAGCTAAGTTTTGTATTTTTACTAGAGACAGAGTTTTGCCATGTTGGCCAGGCAGCTAGTGTTGAACTCCTGACCTCAGGTTAAAATCTATAAAATTTTGTTTCAAAGTTAAAACGTTACAAAAATAATGTGCCCGTGCAACCAAAAAGCTTAATTAAAGAATCCTACATTAAACAGTATTTACATTTAGAACTAAAATTCAAATCCATCCAAACGTTATACACTAGCAGTCTATAGGATAAACTCAGCTCTTGAATGCTGTTTTAAAAAATTCTAGGCCGGGCGCGGTGGCTCAAGCCTGTAATCCCAGCACTTTGGGAGGCCGAGGCGGGTGGATCACGAGGTCAAGAGATCGAGACCATCCTGGTCAACACAGTGAAACCTCGTCTCTACTAAAAATACAAAAAATTAGCTGGGCATGGTGGCGCGTGCCTG